TGTCCAAAACGATTTGCACCTCTAAGAAAATTACGCTTTTAATAAGGAAATACCGACCTAACGAAACTTCCAATTGGTATTTGATTGTGAAGTTTGCAACTTATACGATTGTGATTTTGAATTTTTAAATTAAAATTTTTGAGCTTTTAAAATTTTTAAAATTTTAAAATAAAATTAAGAAATTTTATTAATTAATTAAATTTAAAATTTTGAATATTAAAAATTTATATCCAATAAAATTTTTTATTTTAATTTTTAATTGTTAATTTTAATTATTTAAACTTTAATAACTAAAAGTAAATTCAATCAACACAACCATACAAGATGAAATCTGAAACTCTTTTTAGTATGATTGTTTTTTTTTTTTTTCACTTTTTAGTATTTAAAAATTATATTAAATTTTGATTAATTTAGAATCGAATCGCGTTTCACTATTAATTTCTTTATTTATAAAATTTAAATTTGAAATCTTAATTAAAAAAAATCAAGGTTTTTTCACTTGAATTAACAAATCATTGGTTTTTTTTAGTGTGATCATAGTTTTGAATTTTTTGATTTAGTTTTTAAAAAGTTTTAAAACCTTAAAATAAAAGTAAGTAGTTGTATAAATTAATTAAATTTTAAATATTCATTTTAAAATTTTATATCTGATAAATTAACAATTTTAATTTTTAATTTTTAATTTTAAACATTTCAATTTTACTTTGAAAACTAAAATTAAAAACTCAACATCAAAATTAATCACAAATTGTCAAATTAGATCGGGACAGGAAGATATTATTGCGTCAAGAATTCAAATTTGCTTTTTTTTTAAAGATGATTTGGCTCTGACTCCATTGGGAGATACTACATCGGAAACTTCAAAATCATTTTGCAATCTAACTGCGGCCGAAGGACTTTTCAAGTCAAACAGATTTGTTCGTACTATTTGATAAACTTATTTAGTGAAATTTATAAGAGTTTTTATGGTTTTTATTATTTATAAGTAATAAATTTAAATTTTTATTAAAAAAATTTTAAAATTATTTTTAAAAGTAAAAAAAAATTTATAAAAAATGTAAATTTAAAATTTTTTTAAATTTATTGTTTAAGTTTTTTTTAAAATTA